ATTGACTGGAGAAGAAGGAAAGGTGAGACAGGAGAGAGAAGGCACAGGCACAGAACTGTGCCGGAGAGCAGGACCTGGTGCACAGAAGCCTCCTTGGAGGGAAATGCTATGTCGCTGTTTGCCATTCATCTGCTAAGTAATGGGGAATCCCATTTGAATACACTTTGGTTTTGTTTATATTTGTGTATGTATATATTCATGTGTGTGTGCACAGGTGTGTGTGTGTGTGTGTGTATGTGTGTGTGTGTGTGCATGTGGAAGCCAGAAGCTGAGGCCAGTATCTTCCTTACTTAGTTTCTCTGTATTTAATTTATTGTATGGGCCTGTATGTGTCTGAATGTATGTTCTATGTGTCTTCAAGAGACCAGAATAGGGTGTTGGATTCCCTGGAACTGGACTTATAGACAGTTATGGGGTGCCATGTGGGTGCTGAGCACTGAACTCAAGTCCTCTGCAAGAGCAGCCAGTACTCTTACTCACTGAGCTCTCACTCTAGCCCCTCCTACCTTGTGTTTCGAGACTCGGTCTCTCATTGGCTTGATGACACTGATTGCCCTAGCTTCAAAGGCTAATAAGCACTGGGCAAACCAGTCTTGTGGGCCAGTGACACCCAGAAATTAAGACGTTTTTGGCACCCTGGAGGTCACAGACGGCTGCTCCATGGCTGTCATCAAGCCACAAAATGAATATATTGAATTGCACCGCAAATGATATGGATATTGTCTGGACTACCGTGAGAAAAAGAGAAAGAAAAGGTCGGGAGGCCCATGAACGTTCAAAGAAAGAAAAACAAAAAACTTGATTGGCCTGAAGGCTAAGCTCTACCATAAACAGCACCATGCGGAGAAAATACAAATGAAAAAGACTATGGAGATGCATGAAAAGAGAAACACCAAGCAGAAGGATGATGAGAAGACTCCACGGGGAGCAGTGCCTGCCTATCTGCTGGACAGAGAGGGGCAGTCGAGAGCAAAAGTACTTTCCAACATGATTAAGCAGAAATGGGGGGAAAAAAGGTGGGAAAATGGGAGGTCCCTTTACCCAAAGTTCATGCCCGAGGAGAAACAGAAGTGTTGGAAGTTACTGGAAGAGGAAAAAGAAAAAAAGAAGGCATGGAAGAGAATGGCTACTAAAGTCTGCTTTGTTGGTGATAGTTTTACATGAAAACTACCAAAATATGAGAGGTTCATTAAGCCAATGGGTCTAGGTTTCAAAAATACCCATGTCACACACCCTGAGCTGAAAGCTACTTTTTGCCTGCCTATACTCGGTGTGAAAAAGAATCCATGATCCCCATTATATACAACCCTGGGTGTGACCACCAAAGGTACAGTTATTGAAGTGAATGTGAGTGAGCTGGGCCTTGTGACACAGGAGGCAAGGTTATTTGGGGGAAAGTATGCCCAAGTTACCAACAATCCTGAAAATGATGGGTGCATAAATGCAGTCTTGCTGGTTTGACAGTGACGTCATACAAGTCATTCCACTCACTATCAGAGACTACACACTGTCAGGAAAACACCACCGCTGTGACCTTTCTGAGTCACCAAGCAGCCTTACCCCATATGCAGTCATCAAGAAGTATATATTATGTTGTAAAGGAAAATAAAATACTTCCCGATTTTTTTAAAAGGCTGATAAGCCTCAGGGATCCTCCAGTCTCTGCTCTCCTGGGGTTACAGACCCATCTCTCCAAGCCCAGCTTTCCCCATCGTTGCTGGGAATCAAACTCAAGCTTGTATGGAAGCTAATTTAGAAACAGAGCTGTCTCCTTAGCCCTGAATACATGTTAAAAGTACATAAGCATTAAGGTTGTCAAAGTTTGTCCTGGAAAAGAAAGTTTGAGTTATTCTCTTCCCTATATGGGGGCAGATGGAAATCTTACTTCAGTGGTCCAGGGAGGCTGGTATAGGAAGGAAAGTTGCCATGTCAGTGAGGAGAAAACTTTATTTGAATTCTGGCCCCTAAGCATTAGGGTGGTGAATGGGGGGGGGCAGCATGTGCTGATTGGGTGGTGGGGGGAGGGCGGGGATGAATCCCCAGCATCAGGACCTAAACTTTAAGGTACTTTTTAGGGAGCATTGGTGGCTACCAGATTTCCTCTTAGATTGGTTGGATTTGAGGGCATTTATTTTCAGTGATGGACAAGCTTTTTCTCTTGTCTGTTCAGTGACTGTGCTTACAATTTGACATGTGGGAGTATACTCTAAGCACAGGTATGAAGTGGCCCCGATTTGTGTTCTCTGTATGGCAGTGCATGAATCCAGAAAACTAAAATGGGGAGATACAGCCCAATAAACGATTCTAGGCTGAATGGCCTAGAGACATTTCTGATAGAGCCAGCTCTGAGTCATGTCTTCTAGATGGCCGTCTAATCCTCCAGTCTCCACACAGCTGTCCCTCTGTCCGTGCTTGTAGCTTGGTCTCCTTTTCCTATAAGGATACCAGTTGCATTAAATAATGTCCATCCTAGCAGTCTCATTTTAACTTGGTGCCCCAGTTTTTAAAGTAAGATTTATTCTGGTTTTTATTTTATGTGTCTGGGTGTTTGCCGGTCTGTGTGAGTGCACTTTATGTATGCAGTGCCCTCAGATGCCAGAAGAGGGCATCAGATCCCCCAGGAACTGGTGTTACAGAAGGCTGAGAACCACTGTGTGGATGCTGAGAACTGAACCTGGGTCGGTACTCTTAACCACTGAGCCATCTCTCCAGCTTGTTAATTCCACTTTTGGAGACCCCAGTGCAATGCAGTTCTGTTCTGAAGTATAGGAGGGATTTCTGGTGGGTACAGTTCATTCTATAAAACTAGGGAGAAGCTGAGGGAGACATACATCATCAAACAAACAAACAAACAAACAAACAAAGGAGCTAAGCAAGCTAGTTCTGTGGTTCTTGCTACCTGGATCTTGTCCATTTTTGTCACTGCCATTGATGGTTCGTGTCTGTCAACCGTCTCTCTGAGGAACAAGGAATCTGATACGCAGCTCCTGCTGATTCCTCTGGCGTCCATGTCCCCAGCCTTCCGACCTGACCTCAGTGGATGTAGAGCTGAGTGGAGATGAGTACAGTCAGCTCCTGAGCAAGCAGGAGCTGGTGCCAGAATGTGGCTGGTGTCCCCAGTAACAGACAAGTAAGTAAAGATGAAAAAACAGACACTTTACCTGTTAACTTAAAAGTGATTCCTGGAAGACTTGATGCTGGGGGGAAATGTCAATCATTTTGTCATTCTCCCTTATTATGAGAAGAGAGAAGTTTCTAGAAGAAGAGGGACGACAGGGAGTCTGAAAAGGAGATGGTGATATAAAAAGTGCCGGGCACGCCTTTGCTCCCGGGCAGTCTCAGAACCCAGATACACACCCTCTTACACATGTAGAAGTCCCTGGCACATTAGCAAGGAGAGTTTGAGACAGTGTGAAGAGCCAGCTCAGTGGTGAGGGGTGCTTGTCACCAAGCCTGATGACCTGAGTTTGATCCCCAGACTCCACACGGAAGAGGGTGTGCTGACTAGTCTTACGTCAACTTGGTACCCAAACTAGAGTTATCTGAAAGGAGGGAACCTCCACTGAGAAAATGCTTTAATAAGATCTGGCTGTAGGGCATTTTCTTAATTAGTGATTGATAGCAGAGGGCCCAACCCTTTGTGGGTGGTGCACCTCTGGGCTGGTGGTTCTGGGTTCTATAAGGAAGCAGGTTGAGCAAGGCAGGGGGAGTAAGCCAGTAAGCAGCATCCTTCTATGACCTCTGTATCGGTTCCTGCCTCCAGATTCCAGCCATATAGAGTTTTAGTTCCTGCCCTAGCTTCCCTCAATGATGAGCAGTGATCTGAAGGCAAATAAACCCTCCCCCCCCCCAACTTGCTTTGAGGTCATGATGTTTAATGGCAGCAATAGCAATCTTAACTGAGTCAGAGAGAAAGAACGAACAACCACATTTGCCTATACAAAGTAACAAATGAAGGCATAACAAAGGGACCAGGCAGAAGGATTTGGTTCTGTCTCAGGAACAAAACAGATGATTTTTAGGGCAACTCTGAGAAAAGACTGAAATCCAGAAAAGCAATTCAGGTTTGGAGTAGTGAAAGACCTCAGACTGTGACCCTCATTGTTCACTGAACTAGAGACGAGGCTCGGTATTATCAAAGACAGTTTGTTAGTTTTGCTCTGGAAAATGTCTCACATAAAGGAAGAGAGCTGTTAGTTCCCAGAGTCTCAGGGGGCTTCAGTCCATCATGGTGGGGAAAGAGGGATTGGGGCTGAGTTCATGATGGTGTGTATGTATGCCATACAAGTTTACACCATGGTGTATTAGAAAGGAAGAGATCGAGGAAGGAACTAGGGGTTAGGTCAGCCTCCAAAGGCCTACTTCTGCAAGCAAGGGCCTACCTCCTGAAGGTTCTACAGCCTTACAAATCAGTGCTACACATTTGAGACATGAACCTGTGGAGAGTATTTCTGACTGAAACCATGACCTGTGGATTCTGAGGCCTCATGCCACATCTGTTTCTGAACTGGGGTAATTTTGCCACCCACAGGACATTTGTCACTTCTGGAGCCATTTTTGATTATCACAGCTGGAGAAGAGCAGTTGCCACATAGATGCAGAGATCAAGGACGCTGCTCACACCTCCCACAGCACAGGTGGGCCTCTTAGAGCAGAGTGCACCCAGCTACCCAACACAGACCCCAAGGTCACACTCACTAACTGAAGCTGATTTATCTCACTTAGGCTGACTTAAAGAAACCCCAGTGAACCCTATTTCCCACCCTAGCAGGGCTCAGCTGCAGGCTGGCCACATGGCTGGCAGGCCTCTGGGAATGACATCTTCCATCTATGCTGTGTGGTATGTTGATAGGCAGGTATCTATGTCCGACCTGTACTGTGCACTGGAGAACAGGTCTGTGGGTGGCACAGTGGTCCACAGGTCTCTGTCTGTCTTCTCCCTTCCACTTTGGGCTGCCTGGGTTTGATTTTATTTGATTTGATTTGACTTGATTTGATTTTTATGAGTCCTAGGTATAAAACTGCTTTGGCCACCATGCCAGGCATCAAGCTAGGATGAACAAAGGACTGCCATCTGCCCTGCCTTTGACTGATGTAAGAACAACACCACCAACAAGGTGTCGCTTTGCCCGTTGCCAGGGGCTACAGTGTATATTATCTATGATGACAATAATGATGATGATGACAATGACGCTGGTGATGATGGTGATGTTGGTGATGTGGTAGTAAAGGCAGTGATGGCAGTGATGGTGATTGGTGCTGGGGATTGAACCAAGGGTCTAGCACATGCTCTGCAAACTGTGCTATATTTCTGATTTTCCATTTACTTGCTTATATACTTTTTCAATATTAAGAATTAAATCCAGGACCCCACACATGCTAACTAGGCAAGTCCTCTGCCACTGAGCCACATCCCTAACCTTTTTACTTTTATTTTGGGACAGGCTCTCACTAAATTGTCCAGAATGATCTCGAGCTTGTAATCTTGCTAGCTCAGCCTTCCAAGTAACTAGGATTATGGGCATGCAACCTTGGGCCAGACTTACTGTTATTTTATTTCTAATAGTATAGACAATGTTTATTTTCCAAAGACTTTTGAGATGTTTATTTTTTTTTAAAGACACTGTTACAATGTCAGCGATTTTATCAACATGGACACAGCACATAGTTAAGATAAAATTGCAGTCGTTACTAGCTGATGTATTATCATTGAAATATATAAAGTGGAATCTCTAGGCATTTAAGAAAAACAAATGGAACTAAAACTGAGGAGGAAGACTTTAAAACTCTTCTACGGAAACCAAATCAGAAAGGAAGAAAGAAAACGAGGAGCGTGGAGTAACACGCCTCAGGGCGCAGATCTAAAGGATGAGGACATCCCTGTGACACAGAACACTCTCAGATGGACCACTGGCACAGAGGACACCTTACAATTAAGCCAACAAAATTGTTTGTGTTCCACAAAGAAGAAAAAAATACCACCGTCTTTGCCAATCTACCTCCTAGCCGGTAATAAAAGTACGAAAGGAACAATTTTCTAAATTCTCCAAACTGAACCCCAAACTCCCCTGTAGGCTACATTTTTGAACAGAAGAGGAAACAAAATGTTTATACTCTAGATTGAATAAAATATAGCTTCAAAATCTATAGATACAGCAAAACCCAGACGGCCGTTTTCTCTTAAGTGCTTGATTAGATAAAGACACTCAAGGAGCCAATAAAATGAGGTTGCACCTTGTAGTCAGTTTTGCACTGAGCCTAAACCTACAGTAGAAACAAAGTCTGCTTTTAAGAAAGAATTCTTATGTCTTAGGAAAGTAGAGATATAAAAACAGATAGACAAGTGAAAATTGATAAATTGGGAAATGAGGTAATTAGTGAGCGAGCAGAGAGAGAGAGAGAGAGAGAGAGAGAGAGAGAGAACGAGCACACTGGAGGCTGTCAGTTCAATGGAGCAATTGACCCACGGGCTTTGGCCAGAGGGAAGGAAGAGCATGCATTCACAGACTAGTATACAGAAGGTTATGGAGCCCAGACAGACGGCA